TCTAGGGTCGCTATGAATCAGAATTGACTCGGCAGCAACAAGTATAGCTGTATTGCTTATTTGATGCTGCCTTATATTCTCATCTTTAATTTTGGATAAATTCATTTTCATCCCAACTACTTTATACACACTTTAGGTCAGGCACTACACCTTACACTTCTATAATGCCAAGGCCTAGCTCTAGAACACTGTTTACAGTAATAGGAAATAAGGAAACAGAACAGAAAAAACAAACAAAATCCCTTGCATTTTTGAGAAAAGGCCTATCATAATACGATTTTTTTCTGTTTGATTAGCAAATAAACATGTGCTAGTTTTAGAAAATCTGGGAAGTACAGTTAAAAGAAGTAAATAGGAAAAAAAAAATCCATACATAATTCTATTACCTGGAGACAAAGACTGTTTGTATGTTAACTACGCAGGGCACTTTCTTCTAAAATGCTTCTATATGGTATAGTGCAATTATGAAGTTTAACATTTTAAGTTTTTATCAGTAATATTTATTGACTGCCTACTATATGCAGGGTACTGTATTAAGTTTCTTTTATTCTCTGAAATACTATGATAAATTTTACAGCCATCAATATCCAAGGATATCCAATTACAAAAAAGTGATATCACAAAGTATACTTTCAAACCCTCCCAAGTAAGTGCTGTTGCATCAGTTGCTATATAAAAGACTAGCTCGTGTTATTCAGTAACCCACAAAATTCTATTTTTGACAGCTGTTATTTGTCCTGCTAGTGATAAGGGAGCACAATTAGTCACCCTCTGTCTTTTGAATTCTTGTTTTATAAGTATTCAACATTCAATATCAGAGACTGCAAAGTTGCAGGAAAACCAAATCCTTCAAATTCTAATTTATAAAATACTTTAGAAATGTAAATTACCATTTTCTGGGATACTCCCTCAGTTGTATTAAGCCTTTCCTTTATCTTCATTTTTATATAGGAAATAAAAAAAAAAACTTAAAATTGTTCCTCTTTTTAATTAATAATCATATTAATATTTTCTATAATCAAGAGTAGGAAGACTGAAGTATTAAGAAAGCTAAAGAATTTTCCCTATGTTACAGTTTGAGTGTGATTCTAGACATATGTCTGGTTCTCCTCTTGCAATCAAATAGTCCAGCTTGCTGACAAATGGCCAGATTCATATTCAACAGTTATTAGAATCACAAAATCAAGAGTAACTTCCTCTAACAGGGTAGGACCTAGCCAATCTTCTTAGAAATTCAGCCCTAGAGCAATCAAGGACTTGTCCAAGATCATCCATCTTGGTCTCCATTGTATGTGGTAGAGACCAGGTAAGATTACAGGTCTTCTCACTTGAAGTCTTTGGTGATTTTCCACACTTTGCAAAGGGATTTTCCAGTTCATTCAAAATGAGTGAGCCGTCTTGAATGTATTTACACCTTGATTATAGGTTTTAGACCTAGATAACTAGTTTATGGAATTTTAGGTTTCTATATTACTGGAGAATTGCTGATTCAACAATCATTCTGCTAACAATTTTTAAAGTGATAAGTGTTACCAAATTTAGGCTCCAACAAAAAAAAAATTTTTTTTGCATGTCCTGGCATGCTAATCTCTAACATTGCAATCTTAAAGATCACATTTTACCAACTCAATTGGTAAATCTTGCCAGAAATTTTGACCAATAGAAACAGAAACCTGTTTTATAAATCTTGGGCAAACTATCTAATCTCTTTATGCCTTGTTTTCTTCATCTGGAAATTGGTGATGATCATAGTAGCTACCTCATAGTGTTGTTGTACAGATTAAATGAGTTAATATACACAAAGCAGTTAGAATATAAGTGCCCAATAAATGTGGACTATTATTTTGTTGTTTTTGTTATTATTGTTAATATTATTGTGATCTAAATCTTCATTATTAACGTTTTCTGAATATAATTGAATACATAAGATCAACATAATATGCTGATTTGCCATGTATATTTAGAGATATTTCATTTGAAAAAAACATTTTTTTCTCTACAATTTAAATGTTTTTAAATCATAGCATTAGATTTGTAAAACTATCTCCATTGCTATTTGAATCTATTTCTTAAAAGTATGTTGATCTGTAGACTTTTTACACAGTTGTCATAACGTTAACAGTTTTCTGTCCTGCAGCATTTTTTAAATGACCTCTTTTAATGACTGAATAAGATTTCATTTGTAAGAAGATTTTAAGATGGAATGGGTCTCTTGGTCTCCATTTTGCACATGGCTCACTTTGCAAAGCAAGGCAGTCGCTAGACTACTAACTACAACTTGTAAGAAGAGGGAGCAGGAAAACTGTTTCTACATTCTTAACTAAACAACCCCAAGCTTAGAAGGGCTTAGAAGACTTAATAAGTCCTTAACTGCATTCTTAACTAACTCCCTCCAGCTAGAACTAGAGTTTGAGGAAAGAAGTTTTGCAATTTACACAAGGATGTTTTGAAAAGCACTGTTGGTACGTTGTCAGTCCTTGTTCCCCTAAGTGGGAGGCATTGGGAGTGATTGTCATTTTTCCCAAAGCTGGAAAGAGGAGTAGTAAAGAAACCACTCAGACAGCTTGATATGTATTCTCTGCATTTGATAAACAGTAGCCTGGTGGGTCTAACTTGCCCCTGAAATATCTAAGGTGAGAAACAATTTAGCCTGCTGCTTTGACGTTGGAGAGGGGGAGTGCTGGTCTTTCAGATTTTATCAAGTCAGAGAATGTGTGTTTCCAGGGGGCTAGAGTTTGGCCACATGCAGAAGTCAGGGGTTATCTTACATTTTGTCCAATAGGGCTTACAAAGCTGAGTAGAAGGAGGCTGAGGCTGAGTAAAGTGGCCAGCCAGATGAAAGTACGGCTAGCTGAGAGATCTCCACAGAGTAGGGATGTCTCTACAATGGCTACAAAGTACCTCTCAAGCTTTAAGTAGCTGCCAGGCCCAGAGAGCTCTCTGTCAATGTTAGTCAAGTAAGAACTTTCCTGCCCCCTCTCCTTTGTTTTCGTCCCTCTCTTCTGCTTTAGCCCTGCATCAGAAATTGTAGTTAGCAAACCGGAGTAAAAGTGTAAAGCAGGAAAATAGAAATCACCCTCCACCCATCCCCACATACTTGGGAAAGTAAAATATCTATAACTTCCAATGAAGTTAAGTTTTTATCATACTGTACTAGACGTATTATTATTCACTGGAGGATCTTTTATTGTCTAAAAGTTACCAGAAATTTCATGAGTCTTGTTCTAAATTTCATCTGGGAAAAAGGAAGAACCAGTGCCCAGAATAAACTTAAATGGAGAATTTAAATTGTTTTGAGATTATTTCTCCTAAATTCTGTTTTTCAATGTAATGATTATATATTCATAATTTTCTTAATTATTTCCTTTTTTTTATACATTTAGGTTTGTGATATTGAATTCTTATAATGTTGCACTCGACAGGTTTCTACATATTTCTAACATTATATTTTAGATTATGAGAGATATATTTCCAGAAGGTGGACACCCTTATATATAAATATTGACAAATTGCTTTTCAAAAGTGTTGAAATACATTCCACTACCACTGTCTTTGCATGAATGTTTCATAATACCAAGAAGTTAAAAAAGAAATATTTAATTTTGAATTTTGTAATATTTATGGATATATTGATTACAAAAAGAGGAAAAACCTCTTTTCAGCTAATTGTACCTGAGCAAATGTAAAAAAATCACTATTCTAACTATATTTGTTTATAGACTGCAAATCTGACAGAAGTTTATTAATTATAAAATACCTTTTTATGTAGCGGAAGGATGCATAAAAAATCTGGAGTCAGTCATTCATTTTGAAGCACATTAGTTTTGAAGAGGAAATCATTTAAAAATTTATTAATGACACTAAAATAATTTAGTCTTAAATAAAACTAATAATATGTCAGTATCTCCCTTAGCTTAAATGAAAGTTTAAAAATTTAGCCATGAAATAATAATTTCTGAAATCTTAAAAAGCCTAAATGAACACTGTTCATTAGCATGAATTATAAATAACTTTGAGCATCATATTATCTCTAATAAAGCATGCCATGACTCGCAAGATTTAGTTGAAAACTAAATGCATTGCATTTTTCAGCAATCTGAACAAAGGAACATCTAATAAAAGGATGCTGTTGAATATTCTGTTGTGGTTGCCTACTTATGACATTTGTTTTCATAATAGTACCAAGATTTGGTTAAGTTGGAAAAGTATGTGGGTGAAATACAATGGCTGAAGAATTAAAATACTTCGTTTTATTGTGACAAGGCAGCATCCTTTTTTCAAATAAGATAATTAATTTATATACCTAACACTAGTTTGCTCTGTAAGTTCTCTAAAAAGGCTATCATGAAGGCAATAATGTTATGTAAGTAATTATCAATAACCAACATCCATGACTAGACCATTTTAGGATTGTGATCTTTTCTGTCTTCCTTTTCAAAAATGCTGAACATGAACAGAAGTTAGGATTACATATCCCGGGCTGAATAGTTGAGTGTTCTGAGAAAACAAGATGAAATTACTGGGCTAGGTGAATGCTCACCCTTGTACCCCAAGTTCTAGACTTCTTCCTACATCTTCAGTTATCACTCTGAAAAGTAAGGCTAGTTCCTGTGTAGTTAGTTTTCTGCTCATTCCTGCAAGCGCTAACTCAGTTCTACTTCACAAACAGCTTTGGGTGGTAAATTGAAGCCAGTTTTTCCTGTACTAAAATGGCCTTTCAAAACTATGAGAGTCTTTATAACCCTAGACACTGATCTTGTTTTCAAATGAAGAGTTAAGGTTGCGTTGCTAACCCAGAGTGCAAAGAACATCACCTGCAGGATCACCTGGAAAACAGAAATGATGTAATTTCCTTCTCCCTTGGAAACTTGTCACCTCAAAGAAGGACATCCACCTAAGAATTATATAATTGACTGTTCACATTTTGTATAATAGGGATTAATATTCCCACCATTCTGTGAATTCAGTGGTTCTCAGCAGATGTCACAAGAAGTTCCTACCTGGACCAAGCTATATCCTGTGCGCTGGACGAGTGCGCGGAGGGCTGCTTCCTTCTGGGTGCCGCTCAATCCATCCCCGGATTTTTGATTTGATTCCATTGAGAGTGATTATCAGCAAAAAATCAGGTTAATTAGGGTTGCTCACTGAAACCAAATTTAAGATAAATTAAGTAAATTACTATCGCCAAGTCCAAACTTGTCCTTTTCATAAAGGACGTCTTCAGGAAACATTACATATAAATGAGTCATTATGGTTAGAGCAACTAACAGCCATACACAAACAAGGCTGGTTAAATGTCAGATTCTGCTATCTCATTAAAAAAGAGTTTTTTAAAAAAAAGTTCAATTTAAGTTGAAATTTAGAAGTAAGAAATGAATAATACCCATTCTCCAATTAGAAGCAGATCAGTAATTCTCAATCCAATTATCTCAGGAGGTCTCCAAATGTTTAAACAAATTAGCTCACTTCAATTAAAAGGATATGCTAAACGGTTCTTGCAGATGTGAGAAGAGGGCACTGTCAGCAAATGAAACCAACTAGGATAGGATGTCAAAATTCTCAGAGGTTGAGCTTCATGTATCTGTTCTATGTGTTATCTAAGGCATTTATGCACTTATTCTCCAAAGATAAATTCCTAGAACGGAGTGTGCTCGTGTCAGATACACAGAAGTCATCATACAAATTATTCCATGTAATAAAAATGGGACGTCGATGCTAACAAAGCAAGAACAATGGATCCTTTTGACTATGTGTTGGAAGGGCTACTAACAACTGGATCGTAGGTCCCATAGACCACTTAGTAAAGTATATGAAGCCCTTTGTAAACTCTAAGATACATTTTGAAAGTTTATATATGGGTTCCTGTTTGTGTATGTAGATATGGATAGGCAATTTCAGCATTTTATTGTCTGTTCTTTCTGTTTTGGGAACATGATTTGAACCCCATTTGAAATGTGATAGTTGCTAAATTCCCAGGTTCCCAGGGAAAGGATAACATTCTATAAAGGTTCCAATCTACGGTGGTAAGAGGCTACTGGGGACACTGACCTGCTGGGTGACAGTATGGGTGACTAGTGAAGTTTTATGGTGGGCTTCCACTCTGCTTGATTTACTCTGCCAACCAAGACAGAGGAAGTGTGTTTTGCAGTTATCTGAGTCAAACGCAAATCTAAGGTACTTGACTACAGGTCCTTTTATTTATTTTCTGCCCTATGATTTGAGATTTCCTATACAGCTTTTGATTGTCATTTAAAGATTCATTTATGTAGTGAAAGTATGTATAAATGAATAGACCATTAATCATATGATGGTCAGAATATTAGAATGTAATAATATTAGGAAACTGGGTCAAAAATTGAATGATAGGAAAAAAATGTGACACTGTGGTGATCATCTCAGTAAAATGCTGCTTCAAGGTATTCTATTACCAAAGTTTTAAAAGTTCCCAAACTAATAGGCAAACGTCATTCAAAGTAATATTTTTGGTATAATTTAGAAATTTAAATTTAAAAATACTTGAAATTCCAGAGGGAGTATAAACATTAGCTATTACAGGAACAGAACAATTTCATCCTCTGCATGTAAGTAAGTATGGCTATTCTTGACCTTGACCTTTCTGATAATTTTTGCTTGCTTTTGACTCTAGGTAATTTCATTTGCACTCATTCGTTCTTCCAAGAAGTATTTAGTTAGTGCTGTCTGTATGCCATTTCCACCCTCCTGCCCCGCTTCAGGGCATTGTCTTTTATGGGCAGCCTGCTAACTTGGGAAGTTAACAAGCAGTTTTAGTGTCTGAACTTTGCAAAAAGCAGGGTTCTTTGTTTGTTTTTCATCTTAACTTCATATTGTGACTAAGACAATCAGTAAATTTCTTCTGACTTTCCATCACCACCAACACCACTTCTTGTTGTCGAGTTGATTCCAACTTATAGTTACCCTGTAGGACAGAGTAGAACTGCCCCATAGGTTTTCCAAGGAGCAACTGGTGAATTCGAACTACCGGCCATTTGGTTAGCAGCTGAATTCTTAACCACTACACTACCTGGGCTCCAACCTTCCATACTGGTGATTTAAAATACATATGGCAATCCAGGTTGGGACTTATATCTTTAATGACATATTTACAGTGTAAACATTCTTTCTATGGATACTATAAGATAGAGGTAAAGTGAGATGTGGTTTCAGTTTATAACCCTAAACTGAAGGTGAGTATAGTCATAGAAATCTCTATGAAACAATATAAATCAAGATAGTATTCTCTTAAAATAGACAACAAATAAAACCATAAAATACCTTTGGAAGATTCACATAGAAAACTAGCCTTTATGACACATTTTAACTCTTACACTTTTCCTAAATGTTAATAAAATTGTCTGTTTACCAGGATATTCTCAAACTCTCCCACTGGGCTGAATTTAACCTGCCAAGAGGAAGGAGTCCATGGATGGATGGGAGTCTGATGGAGTAATTTATGTGTGTCTTACAGCTATTTGAAGGCAAAGTCTATAGTCTCTTGGCCAAGTTGTAGAAAGAGCTTCATCCTTTCCATCAAAAAGATAACAGTTCATGGTGAAATGGCAAGTTTTTATTTGCAAAACCTACCTTTCATTTCAGTTAATAATTAGTAAAGGAGGTTAAAGGTATTTTGACATTAGAAAGGTCTTTTGATCACATACAAGTTCACTTTGAAGCTATTGAGAAAATCTGTGTAATGTGTCAATATAGTCTTAAGTCATTGGAAATCAGGACATGAAAATAAAATTCAGAATTTGCTAGAAGAGGGACTTGCTGTTCAATTTTTATTTCTCCAAAACAATCCCTCTCCTAACCTTGACCTAGTCTAAAGGGTGGGCTTGAATCCCAGATAAATATTTTTTAAGCAAGTCAAGCCGTTGTTAAAGAATTTGGTTAATTTGAAATAAAAAAAAAAATTTGTAATTTCTTCAGACCTGAGGCTGCATTCTGAAAGACTAGTTCCCATTCAGTTTATTGAATTCAAAACCTGTATACAACAGGCATTAAGAATACCAGAGTTAGAAGAAAGCACTCGTGTATATATCAGTTATTAATTCAAGTATTCTTTGAGTATCCACTATGTGGTAGGAATTGTTCTAGACACTGGGAATGTAGCAGAGAACACAATAGCTCCTCACCGCAAAACCTAGTGGAGTTTACTAGTAGGTGAGCATGAAAAAAAAAACCAAGATAAATAAGTGAAGTATACAGTGTGCATGTGATAATTTCTGAGGAGAACAAACAAAAATGGATATGTGTGTTTAGAGTTGAACTTTTAGATAGTATGGCCCTTCAAAATTGAATTTGCGAAAAGACCTGGGTGAAGTGAGGGATGTCTTAGGGGTATTCCAGGCAGAGATACTGGCCTTGGGAAGGTGCCCACTGGTAAGGGTCCTGAGGAGGGAGCATGCTGAGGGAATACTGAGGAGGCCAGTATGGTAGTGGCCAGAGCTGAGTGAATGAGAAGTAGAAGTTGAGGTCAGAGAGGTAATGGGGGACCAGAATATGTAGGTTCTTGTAGATTACAGTAAGAACACTGGCATTTGTACTGAGATGTGAAGCAAGAAGATTGATTTTTTTTTTTCCTCTGTATGTTTTAACAGGATCACTCTGGCTGTTGAGAAAACACTGAAGGGGGTGGGGTCAGGACTGGGAGTAGAGTGAGGCAAGTGAAGTGAACCATGCAAATACAGAGTCAACACCTGTTATTTAAAATGTTGATATTTTGTTCTTCATGGAATTTTCCCCTTAATTTTGATTGCTTTAAAATATTGCATTCGAATATTATTTGTCTTGATTACTGAGTTTTTTGGTGCTCCCTTAAATTTTACACTTGAGACAAGTTCCTTACTTACCTCACTTTAGTTGAGGGTTCAAGGGAAGAAGCAGGAGGACCACTTAGAAGCTATTATGACAGCTAGGTAAGAGATGGTAGTGGCTGGGACTAGGATGGTAATAATGGAGGTAGTCGAATCCTGGGTATGGACGAATTGGATGTGTTGAGAGACAGAAACAAGGAGTCAAGAATGACATGCAGCTTTTTGACCTGAGCAACGCAGAAGAATAATGTTGCCAGTAACAGAGATGTAGAGTAAAAAGTTGTGGAAGAAGAGTAGTAGCTTAGTTTTGGGCATGTTGATTTTGAAATGCTCATTGTATCGCCACATGGAAAACTTGAGAGGGAAGTTATGTATATAAGTCTGGATTTCATGGGAGAGTTCCAGGCAAGAGATAATTGATTTGAAGGTTTTCAGCATAGAGATGATATTTAAAGCCTTGGACCTGGATAAGATCATGTAGTGACTGAGTGAGGAGAATAGGTCCAAGGACTGATCTGTGGGACACTCTAACTTTTGGAAGCCAGAGAGATAAGGAGGAACCAGCAAAGGAGATGGACACAGAACAGCCAGAAAGATAGGAGGAGAACAGGTGAGTGAGGTAGTTTGGAAGCCAAGTAAAGAAAAGGTTTCTGGAAAAAGTGAGTGTCCAGTTGTGCCAAATGCTACTAAGCTAAGTAAGATGAAGCCTGAATAGCAGTGCAGACCCTGGAACTAGACTTCCTGGGTTTACATCCTCACTTTGCCTCTCATATGTGCCCTGGGTGAATTCCTTAACCTCTTTCTGTCTCAGTATCCTCAGTTTAGGCAATCTCTCTCAGTGTTTTTGTATTACATGAGTAAATGTATTGAAGGGGCTTTGGAAGAGTTCCTGACACTGGCGTGTACTAAGTACCAGATTAGTGTTAGGCATAGATACAGAAAATCTAAAAGAGGAGAAAAGGAGAAGCAATATAATCACCAAGCACCTCCAATTCTCAATCCAGAGATCCTAGAGTAAGAATTTCCATAGATCCATGGAAAAGCATTGTTACCTAGTTGAGAATGACTAAGAGAAGAAAGGGACAATGAAATTGAAGTTAGATGGAGGAGGATTACAGTCAGTATTACAGGGGAGAATCATATACCCTCCCTAAGCATCAGTTTCCTCATTTGTGAATTGGGGCAATAAGCAGGTGGCACCGTGGTTAAGAGCTTAACTGCCGACCAAAAGATCAGCAGTTCAAATTCACCAGCTGCTCCTTGGAAACCCTATGGGGCAGCTCTACTCTGTCTTTTAGGGTCTTGAGGAGTCAGAATCGACTTGATGGCAACGGGTTTGGCTTTTTTTGTTTGTTTGTTTAGACAATACTGTTATGAAGACTAAATGAGAAAACTCTGTGTTTAGTTCAGTTCTAACATACAGTGAACACTCCAACATGACTTACTGATATGTTAATAACTCACATTGGAGGAGAGAAGCAGAATGCAGGAATAGAAAAGTGATTCCAGAGTGAAGGAATAGCAAAGTGACAGCATTTCCTTGTATATTTTCCTTCTCTTTGCCCTCTTCCTTAAATTCATTCTAAACATGGGGTGGCAGAGGGACTAACAATGTAAAAAACCAAGGGTCTCTTCTACCAGTTTTCATTAATCTGTGACTAATGTCTCCCTGCTCTGCCCAGCAGTATTTATTTAGCAATGTAACATGTTATTCAAATGTATACCCACAACCATACCTGCTATATAAAAATGTTCCCCCCTTTTATTTCTCTACCCCATCCCAGTGGAAACTCTCTGAGCCTCAGTTTCCTCATATATACAATTAAGATAATAATATTTCCTTCACATAGGATTCTTTTGAAGATTAAATATTAATACATTTAAAATACTTTAAATGATTCATGGAA